TGGTGGCTCAGATGGTAAAGAAGCTGCCTGCGATGCAGGAGACCCATGTTCGATCCCTGGGTGGGAAAGATCCCCTGGAGAAGGAAATGGCAACGCACTCCAGTATTCTTGCCTGGAGAATTACACAGACAAAAGAGCCTGGCAGGCTATAGTCCATGGGGTCACAAAGAGTCAGACACAAACTGAGCAACTATCACTCACTCACACTATCTGTGAATATCTTAATCAGATCCTGTACTTAATCAGATCATGTTACTTCTATTACTGTCATCAGATCATGTTCTCAAAGGCATTAGGTCTCCTTAAAGTGCCTTCACATATCTCTGCTCTGATTGTGTTCATTCTAAGCTTTCACTCTCAAACGATAGACTGTATTGATTTTAATGTTTAATTTTCAAGGGACAATTCTCTTATTGCTACTTTATTATTCAGTCAACAAATATTTTTATGGTGCATCTACTATATGCCAAGCCCTTGGTACTTGCTAGGAATAGCTGGCGTAAGCAACACAGGCAAAATCTCAGCTCTCAAGAAGCTGACAACCTATCGCAGGAGTTTCCAAATTCTTGGGGTCACTTCACATTTGTCTCCAGATACTGATAATCCCCACATCCAAAATGCTATTTTAAGCCATTTAACAATAACATTAGAAAAACAGTGATTCAGTGGCTCACAAAGAAAACACAGAGCATCTTCTGTCAAACAGTTATCACTGCTTCCTAGCAGTGGGTTCCAGCACTGAACCCCAAAATGAAATAAAAAAGAAGCCCATTATACATAAGTCAATGTACACCTGGGGTTCTCCCAGAGATGAAGAAACTGCTAAGGAACGAGGATAAGTTAAGAGCTGCAGAGCTGCTTTATTTTGGTTAGTTTTTCAAGAATAATTTCTATAATCCATGAACTAAAGACAACAACAATCAGAATGCATTTTATCAGGGAAAACTTAAAAGAGCTCAGGTAAAAACCAAACAAATTCATAAGTAGATAAATACTGATTCAGGCTACCAACAACAGGACTTTGCTGCTATTGTCTTGTTGTTGGTTTTTCAAATAGGGTCTACCCCGCCCCCCTTATGAAGAGAGTTAACATGTACCCTGGAAAACACAGAGAAGAATCAGTATCAAGAGTAACAACCAGTGGGGAGGGCTATGCTGTGCATCCCTTCACTCTCGCTGCAGGGAGATGGCTCAGCAACCTCTCCGAAGGAGGTTCCTGACCTCTGTCATCTCCGGAAGCCCTCTCAGTCGGTGGGCAGCCCTTACCTCCAGGGCACTGGAGGCCCCAACAGCAGTCCTAGTAACCTGACAGGAACACCCAGCCACGCCTGGTCGATGGACACCACCAGTGGCTGTACAAACTCTAACATCCAGGATGGACCTGACTTTCAAGACCGAGCTGTCAGCAGGGAGACACCAGTGGTTGTGGATTTCCACGCACAGTGGTGTGGTCCCTGCGAGATCTGGGGGCCGAGGTTAGAGAAAGTGGTAACCAAGCAGCAAGGGAAGGTGATGACCTAGGTGGATATTGATGACCACACAGACCTTGCCGTAGAGTAGGCTAACACGGCCATGAAGAACGGGGATGTGGTGGACAAGTTTGTGGACATCAAATGATGAGGACGAGCTGGAGACCTTCCTGAAGAAGCTGACCGGCTGACAAGCGGGAAGCATCCTGACTGCCCCTGCCCGCCTGGGCCCCACAGTCCCAGGGGAACCCTGATACAACTCACAGCCTTTCTTTGCTGGCCCTTCCCACCTCCTCCCTCTGTCTGGCCCCAAGCTTTGGAGACCAAGCCTCCAAACACGGTGGCCAGGGCTGCTGCCCAGCTGAGAGTCGTCTCCCCACCAGCCCCCAGCCCCGGCTCTGTCTGCTCCCTCCAGGGCTTTTGGCTCTGTGCTAAGGATGCTGGGACACAGCCCTGGGGCCAGCCGGCAATAATGGTTTAAGTCCTGTCTCCCTGTTCCCTTCTGATCTGAACACTGGTGCCTGGCTCATTTGCCTCCTGCATTTTCCTTTCCTGCTGCTGTTTTGTAAAAAGACAAAGAAGGAAAAAGAAACCCAAACAAGTGAGAATAAAATATATAATTCTCTCATTTTTCATAGGTCTGTAATAAAGAACTTTATGTGATCCTTCTATTGCCCACTGTGAATAACAGACCCTGGGCCGTGTACTACATGACCCCGTATCCACACCCCCACCTCTCCTGCAGAGAGCCACCTCCCTCTTTTCTCCCAGGTGCCAGGGCAGCAAACGTGTGTTGGGCTGAGGGTATCCTGCAAACCCTTGACTCTGCAAGGCTCAAGACACTACTCTCCCTCACCATTAGCTGGCCCTTTGGTTCTCCGAGGCTTCACTGAAAAACTGGACCAATAAAGCTAGGATTTACACTGTTAAAAAAAAAAGAGAGACAATAATTCCACTACTCAAATATACATACATATATATACATATATATATATATATATATATATATATCTTGTTTCAAACTTTCTGTTATACAAAAATACTTCTCTTTTCACAAAACTGACACCAATTTTGAACATGAATATGCAATTGTGTATCATGTTTTTTCATGCTTAACACCAGGAGCATTTTCCATGTACTTGTTCTTCTAAAATGTAAATTTTTAAGTCAGATAATATTTCACCATGTGGACATGCCATAATTTCACCACACTCCCATTGTGAGGCAGGTAGCAGTAATGTTTTCCAACACAGAATAAATGAGTGTGGATGAATGCTCTCATTCACAACCATCTAAATATGCCCTTGAGGTAAATTCCTAAAAGGGGAATTACTAAGTCAAAGAGCATGAACTTTTTAAGGATCCTGATTTATGTCACAAAGTTCTCTATTCAACTCTCCAGCACAACAGGAGAGCAACCACATCACCCCTTGGCAGCACTAGATATTTCTACTTTGATTTTCATCAATATGATAGGTTAAAAAGGATTTCTCATTTTACTCTGCAGCTCTTTGGTCAGTAATGAGAATGAACATTTTTAAATGTTATAAATCATTTTAATTTCTTATTTATGATACTCTGTTTATGTCTATTATTCACTTTTGCTATTAGGACATTGTGCTTTTTAAAAAATTGATCTAAGAGCTCTGAGAAATTAAAACACACAACAAATCTATCTGTCATGTGTTGCCTGCATGTTCACTCAGTTTGAACACACATAGGTCTTGGTTCTTCCATAGTAAAAGCTCCAAACTTTTCTAAAATGGAACTGGTACAATCTAATTCCCATCAGAGCCACTCCTACCAAGTACCACCTCTTTACCTTTATACTCAATGTGCTCCTTAGGGTGCTGTTTTTAAGCACCAGGCTCGCCAGGGATACTAAAGACTAGCCCAATGAACCCACAGCACTCTGTTTAACTAACTCGCTTGGAAAATACAAAAAAACACTCAGAAAAGCTTCTTCCTCCCCTATACTCAGAATCCCTCAAACAACAAGCTGTTTATTCTGGTTCAGGGCAAAAAAAGCTGCCTTTGGTCCTCCAAAAGATCACCCGTGGTTGGAAGGCAGCAAAGCAGAAGAAAAAGAGCATAAGCTCTAGAGTGGAAAAACCTGCATTTAGATTCCTGGCTCTGTTGTGCTCTTGCTGTGTAACCCTGGTCAAGTCATCTTGCTTCCCTGGGCCTCAATTTCCTAATTACAAAAATAAATTTAGGGATATCATAAAGATTAAATTAAATACATAATGTCTATAACCTGGGGTCTGGTATACAGTAGGTGCACTTCAAAAAATGTCATTTTCCTACTTTGATGATGCTAAATCAGTTACTTATTTAATTCAAATAACCTTACATAAAATGTTGACCTGAAATAGCTAGCTGTCCCAGGAAAGTATCATCCGGGTAAAAAATATTTAGGTCAGCTTTCTGTCAACTGCAATTTCCACTGCTATAATTATGCAATCATCAACCACCACTGCAAGACAACAAAAACCTCAAAGTTGATGTCACTGAAATTGCTAAATACAGTAATTATTTGATTCTCAAGATCATGGCCACCAACTCCTTTTGGAAAGCAATAGAAATCTCGGTAATTATAGGATCAAAAGACTGATTAGTTGTCCCAGACAGTGGTTTCTACAAGCGAAGTCTTTTGGTCATTGCCCAGGACAGCAGCATATGCAGAAGTCATTCTCACTTCCATACTCTGAAAGGAACAATGTCAACAAAAGAACCAAAGGAAAAAAGACAGAAAAAAAAAGGGCTACTCTATGAAACTGAGCCTTTTTGGCACTTATTCCTGGCAAGAGGTAAGAGACTGGTGAAATAATCTCTAGAAGGAAACCATACTTTAAAAATCTATCAGCATAACCCCTTTCTATGGAAAAAGGTACATTTTCCTTCTAAGTATAGAAGGTAGATTCCATCAGGAAAGGAAAGAAAGCAAAGTATCACTTATGTTCACAGCACTGTACCACATGCTTTAATTACTTTATCTTTTAAATCAAGTTGTGAGGTAGGTCTTATCCTTCCTTACAGACAATAGGTAACTTGCTCAAGGTTTTGTAGTTATTAAGTGGAAGAAACATCCAGCTCCCTAGGTCTAGCTTTGAAACCTTTATCTCTTCATTACATCTTCATGAAATCTCAAAATGATCATGTCAATTCTCTTTTATAAGAAAGAACCCAGGGACTTCCCTGGTGGTCCAGTGGTTAAGACTTTGCGCTTCCACTGCAGGTGGCACAGGTTCCATCCCTGGTCGGGAAACTAAGAATCCTGAATGCCACTTAGCAGCAAGCCAAAAAAAAAAATTTTTTTTTCAAAAATGAAAAAGAGACAACGAACCCAATTTAAATTTTGGTCTAAAACAAAACAGACAAACAAGTAAAACCAACAAACTACTTATTCACCAAAAGGGTGACCATTTCTATCAATTAGCTCTTCTGGCTCTTACTAGTCTTTAAAATGAACTGACAGACTCATACAAAGTACCCTTTTTTAAAAATCTTAAATATTAAAGAAAATGGTACCTGTTAACAACCACAAAGCACTGAAGCAGAAGCAAATATAAAACAGGTACAAGCTTTTCAACTGCTTCACAGATGTCTGCCAACAAAATCTTGATAAAATCCAAGAAGCACAGCTTGGCTTGATTCCCAGCTTCTCCATGGCCTTCCAGACAGGCAGAACCAGTCCACTAGAAAGACAGAAAAAGAAGAAATTATATGCCAAGTAATTAATAATTGATTCCTCGAAATGCAGAGTTCTCGACAGTGTGACAGATTAGGGAGAAGAGAAATTTCAAGTTTGTCTTTCACTGTTCATACCCGTCTATAACTCTCAAACCTGAGCTTTGACATAGCCTATAATTATCAGGATAAAAACATAGCAAGGGATATGAAATGAATCCACTGTAAAGCTGAAACACTTTATATTCCATTATTTTCTAATCTAACAGTTAATCATCTATGTGGAAGAGCGGAAAGTGCACGTGACTAAAAAAAAAGATCTGAGTTTCAGTTCTAGTTCTGCCAACAGCTTTGTGGCTTTATCCAAATACTGTTTTTATCTATGAAAAGAAGAGTCTGGAGCATCACAGGTAAACTAAACTGAAGGTTTTTCTAGCTATGTTTTTAGAAAGCTTTAATGTGATTGTCATTAGGTAGGGCATGCATTCTCCAGTTTGCTATTGTCCCCACCACTCTTATCTTTAAAATCTATCCAGTTTATACTTTGATGTCAACTCCAGGATCCTTAGAATCATTAGCAATTCCTGACTTAAATTCATATATCCACTCAACAAGTATTTACACAACCCCTATTTTGTACTAGGCATCCAGATTCTAGGGGTTGAATGACAGGTCCCTTTCAGAAGAAAAAAATGACTTTCCATCAGTTTCTTCTTACACAACCTCCCTATATTGTATAAATTATTATATAAATGTTGGCAGCATTATGAGGGTTGACTGAGTTCTGAAGAAGCAATTCAAAAATCTTCTGTACTAAATATGCACCTGTCATGCACATCTAGAAAATGGCACAGACTGACAACCCCCAACCCGAGCCCAGCACTGTCTGGGTTGGATATCAATATCAGGAAATAGACACACACACAGAACTGCAAAACTAAGGTACAGCCCGCCCAACAAGAAGTTTTCACTGAGCCTTAAGCATCTGAAGGACTTCCTCTTTCTCATTCACTTCCATCCATTCCTATTTCTAGTGGTTTGTCATTGTATGTTAGGGGGCAGGGGACAGAAAGGTGTGCAGGTCAGACACATGCTCAAGGGATTATGAAGTGGAGCCTAAGTTAGAAAGTATATCCAGCAACTTTTCTAGCCTCCGAAGGAGTGAATGTGCATGTGTGTGTGTATGAATCTTACCCAACACATTACTGCCTACCACAAAAGGATTTTAAATTCAAGGTGACTCAACACCTGTCATCAACAGCGTGGCAGGTGGGCGATAGAAGCATAAAAGAAATGAATAGGCTTTGAAAATGGGAGTAATAAACACCACTGGATTGGCAAGCTGATTAGAAGGGCAAGGTCTCACACACCGTGCAGAAGACAGAGGCGGTTATTTTCTTGTGAACTCCCAATCAGTCTTTCCTCTGAAACCTACAATTGCTTAAGGGCACAAATCACTGCTAGGGTCCAGTCAACGCTTGCTGACCAGAGGCAGGAACAACACCACAACACCAAGATCCAAACGGCTTGTTACAGAATCAAAGGGAAACAGCCCAGGGAGAGAACACACACCCCCACAATACTTGACAAATGAAAATCTAGAAAAGCAAGCAAGAGTTCTGGCATTTAGGGCGTTACAAGTACACCCGAAATAAAAGCACTCTCTGTTGCAGCAGCTGTTCAGACAGAAGGGGGTAATGTTTACTTAATACTTCAGGTTGATGGGGGATGTATCATAGTTCAGTCTGTCAGCTACATACGTGGAACTTCATTTATGTACCCAGCGATAAGATGTTTGAACAACGACAGAGCACGTCTGAAACAGCCTATTCAGCTAGTATGAGTAATCAAGAATAAAGCTCTTTTAAAAAAAAGTCTCAGATATTTGGGAAAGTTACAGAACAGACTGCCATGAAAAGCTTTGCTTATATTTGCAGACACTGTTTTACAAATAACTGGAAAAATGAACAGATTGTTCTGGGAGGTCGTCCTTCAAACTTGTTCCCTAGCTTCCAGTCTGTTAATCAGATCAGAAAGCTCGAGGAGACTCAGTTAATACTCTTCACTAACTGCATCTGTCGTCAATTGGGCACAAGCACTGTGAGGTGAATGGAAGCAAATCTTTCCTGGAATCTCGCCCGAGGTCTTTTCTCTCGACTTCTTCATTTCACCTTTGTGCTCACTGCAACCACCACAGGACCCCTCTGGGGGCATAATTTTCTGTGTCCTGAATAAGGCAGGTTTCACGACGTAATGTACAAGTAGTGCTCAGCCCCGCCCCCCTTATTCAGCATCAACGTGCCGTCTCGGTGGGGAGAACACACACCAGAGACAGTAACTAGGGGCGAGGAAGGAAGGAGGCCAGCAGCGTCTCGGGGCCGGTCTGTCTGTCCGTCAGGGGATGGAGGGAACAGCAGGACCAGGCCCTGGCCCCCCAAAAAACGGGCTTAGCCTGCGACTCCAGCTCCGCACCTGCAAAGCCAGAAGCAGCTGGCTGTCCTAGCCGGGCCAGGAGCGCCACCTCCGGGTCCCAACACCCGGCCAGCGCACCCCCAGAAATAGCCAGTCCCGCTCGCCCCTCCCATGGGCTCGTGGTCCTCGGCCCGGCAGCCAGCAGCCCCCGGCCACCTACCGGGGCTCAGGGCCACACAGCGGGGCCCCGGCTCTCGGCGGCCTCCGCCTCCTCCCGGTCCATGGGGTCGGGGCCCCAACCTCCGCTCCCCTCACCCGGAGGAGGAGGAAAAGGAAGAAGCGAATGCGGGCTCCCCACCCGGACAGCTCGCTCTCGCCTCAGCCTCCCAGGACCGCGACGATAGCCGGAAACGCCGCCCCCTCCCACCTCCCGGGCTCAACCCGGAAACACACTCTCCAGGCTAAACAAGCCCTCCTGGCCCCCCGGAAGCTCAATTCTAGCCGCGAGCCCGCGTGGGAGGAGGGGCAGTGCTGGAGGGTGGAACTACGCACGAGCGAAGGAACCTGGGTCCCTAGGCTGTCGCCTCCCGCTCTCCAGAGGCGGTCTGCACCTTCGCCCGCCCGGCGCGAGCCCCGGGCCCCAGACTCGGGCAATACCCACAAGCAAGATGGCGGCAGCGGCAGCACCCCCTACGGCTTAGCGCCCAGCCGTGCCATTGGCTGGAGCCTGGAGTGAGGTCGCCGCGGATTGGTCGAGAGCGCTGCGGGGGTGGGGGTGGAGCTGCAGCAGCCCGGAGCCTAGAGTGGGCAACGCGGCGTGAGCAGCGGCCCCAGGCTCCCGGAGCATCGAGCTCGGAGAAGACTTCGCCGCTCGGGGCCGCAGCCTGGTGAGCTCAGCCCCCTTCAGGCCCTCCCCTCCATCCCAGCCGGGGCCGCTCCAAGCCGGCGCGGATCGATGCCGACACACCCCGGGGACCCTATCGCGACATCACCGTGCCCTGTCGAGACTCCATTTTGTCACAGCCCTTCTCAATATATAGCTATATCTTTTTTTAAAAAAAATTTGCCCTGTCATCTTTGGGGGCTGTCCCATGTCGTGGTATTGCCGTGATCTCTCCGTGACATCACCGCGCCATCGTGAAGTGTGATCTCATCGCCGCCCTGTCGTGACTTCATCAATGTCGTGTTGTGACCTGGCTGCGGCGGGACAGGTGGTGACCGCCAGAAACCCTCCTCCCCTTCTCATCTCCCCATCTCAGCGGCCCCGCTTCGATTATCCGGCTTTTGGATTATCCGTTGTCCTGGGAGCCACCCGGGACCCCTTCTTGCTTCTCCAGCCCCTGCAGGCATCCACAGGCTGGTAGCCGGATGGGGAGGGTGAGGAGAGGGAGCGCAAGGGGTTAATTCTGCTGCTGCTGCTCTGCTGCTGCAGCTTCTGCCCGAGGGAGGGAAAGGAGAGGAGGCACTGAGCCTGCGGGGGCGACTGAGCCCTGGCTGGAGGGGTGGCGTCCCCAGAGGGCCTCTGAGCCTTCCCTGGGTCAGCGCCCTGCGCCCTCACTTCTACTGAAGCTTGTGTCCTGTGTCTTCTGAAGAAGGGAGGGGAAGGGAAACCTAGCATGCCCTTTTCCCTCGTGTCAGCCTGAGTCCGGATAATCGAACTTCACCATGTATGTTTCCATTCCTCCGTCTGTCCTCACCACTCCTTCCTTGTTACGTTTGGTGGAGGGAAACAAAACCTGGCCTTTGGTGCCAGGGGCAGCGGAGTCATGGGGCCAGCCCTTTCCCGCCCCCAGGAGACTGTTGAGGAGAGCTGTCCAACTGAGCAGCAGGATGCATGGTCCTTCTCTCCCACTTTTTGGAGGTGACCTTGGACCAGGGTCCCTTCTTCATCCCTGAGGACTTGAGGGTCCAGCCCCTTAAAGGGGCTCCCCCCAGGAGGTCAGTCCTGAGGAGTCCGTCCCTCCTGATCCTCCCCTCCCTCTGTGCTAATCCCTCCCTCCCTCCTCCACTCCCACCCCCACCCCTCCTCTGCAGAGGGATGCTCAGTCCCTCTTGTGTTCACAGTTGGGCAAGGCGGGCATCATGGCCTCGGATTGCGAGCCAGCTCTGAACCAGGCAGAGAGCCGAAACCCCACCCTGGAGCGCTACCTGGGAGCCCTCCGTGAGGCCAAGAATGACAGCGAGCAGTTTGCAGCCCTGCTGCTAGTAAGGAACTGACTGACAGCTGGGAGGTGGGAAGGGCTGGGTGGTTGGGCCCTCTAGGAATGGGGTCAACAAGTCCCCAAGGATATATAGGTGCTGCTGGTAAACCTGGAGGCACCAAAGTAGGTCCAAGGCACCTACCTGTGGACTCATTTTTGCTCTCACTGCATATGGGAGCAAGGGGGAAATAAGGGTGAATAAAGCTTGTGGCCCTTAGGAACCTTGGAGGAGGCTGCCTGGGTCTGCTCTCTGGGGCGTCCCAGAGCAGATGGGAGCTGACTCATAGGGTAACAGCAGCAGGTAGTAACTAGTGCAGAATACTTGATGGCTGGGGATGCATGTTCTGGAGGTGGAGAGAGTCGCGGGACTGGAAGTGACTGGGAAAGGGTCCCTGGGGACGGCCAGAATGCGTATGTAGGTTGAGAATGAAGGAGCTGGTTTGGGGCTCAGCCCTGTTGGAGGAACCCAAGCTGGGGCCAGAACAGGAGCTGCAGTGCTGGGAAGGGGGGGCTGGTGTGTGGGGGGTGAAGGGAGGAGGGAGTACAGCCTGCTTGTTTGCCATGGCAACAGGGAGAAGGCTCCAGAGTCAAGGGCTCACACTGCAGCGAGGAGGTGTTTAGGTGAAATGTAAGGGGAAATGTTTTGACAGGCAGAGCGGCGAGACACAGGAGCCGTTTCCCCTGAGAAGGTGGCGGGAATGCACGAGAGACTTCTCAAGGGAGTGATTAGAGAGGGACCCCAAGTCCTTGGAGAATTTCAAACACTGAGTTCCAACCTCTTGCAACTCAGATGTTGGGCATCTAGCTCAGACACCAAGAACTTTCCAGCTAACAGGGTAATGACATGGCAGAAAGAACAGTTGAGGAGGACTGGACCTCCCTTCTGCAGGGACCCTAGAGGAGGGATCCCAGAGGTCACACTCGTCTGCCTCGGGGGAGAAGGGAGGAACTGGATAGGGTGATCTCTGGGAGGCTTCCTGACCCCAGAGGGAGTCCTGTTACATAACCGAGTCCTGCTGCTGGTCCCCCCCCAGAGTGCAGGGCACGGTCTTCGCAGCCCTTCCCTTCATCCTGCTGCTGGTCCCCCCCCCAGAGTGCAGGGCACGGTCTTCGCAGCCCTTCCCTTCATCCTGCTGATCGCACGTACTTCCCTCAGGTGACCAAGGCAGTCAAAGCAGGTGACATCGATGCCAAAACTCGGCGGCGGATCTTTGATGCCGTCGGTTTCACCTTCCCCAATCGACTCCTGACCACCAAGGAGGCGCCGGATGGCTGCCCCGACCACGTTCTCCGGGCCCTGGGCGTGGCCCTGCTGGCCTGCTTCTGCAGTGACCCTGAACTAGCCGCCCACCCCCAGGTCCTGAACAAGATCCCCATCCTTACCACCTTCCTCACAGCCCGGGGGGACCCTGATGATGCTGCCCGCCGTTCCATGGTTGATGACACCTACCAGTGCCTGACAGCCGTGGCAGGTACCCCCCGTGGGCCCCGACACCTCATTGCCGGAGGCACCGTGTCTGCCCTGTGTCAAGCGTACCTAGGGCACGGCTACGGCTTTGACCAGGCCCTGGCACTCCTGGTGGGGCTCCTGGCTGCTGCTGAGACACAGTGCTGGAAGGAGGCGGAGCCCGACCTGCTGGCTGTTTTGCGGGGCCTCAGCGAAGATTTCCAGAAAGCCGAGGATGCCAGCAAGTTTGAGCTCTGCCAGCTGCTGCCCCTCTTTCTGCCCCCAACAACCGTGCCCTCCGAGTGCCTCCGGGATCTGCAGGCTGGGCTGGCACGCATCCTGGGCAGCAAGCTGAGCTCCTGGCAGCGCAACCCTGCCCTGAAGCTGGCCGCCCGCCTGGCACACGCCTGCGGCTCCGACTGGATCCCAGCGGGCAGCTCCGGGAGCAAGTTCCTGGCCCTGCTGGTGAACCTGGCATGCGTGGAGGTGCGGCTGGCCCTGGAGGAGACGGGCACAGAGGTGAAAGAGGACGTGGTGACCGCCTGCTACGCCCTCATGGAGCTGGGGATCCAGGAATGCACCCGCTGTGAGCAGTCCCTGCTTAAGGAGCCTCAGAAGGTGCAGCTTGTGAGCATCATGAAGGAGGCCATCGGGGCTGTCATCCACTACCTGCAGCAGGTGAGGGTGGGGGGCGGGGTGGGCCATGGAGGGGGAGGGGGGCCCAGAGGCAAGGGAGAGGGGGAGGTGAAACCCCGCCCCTGGGTGTGTGGCTGGTCCTGCAGCACTCCAGGGAGTAGTGTGTGGCGAGCCTCCCTCTCCCTCCTCCCCCCTCCCCTCCCTGAGCCTCCACACAAGCACCACACCACACACCATATGTGCACTCACATCACAGTACACACACACACACACAACACAGAAGCCTCCCACTCACAACCCTGCCCCCGATCCACACACACTGAAGTGAAGCAGTCTGTCCTGCTCAGGCTGCAGCGTTGTCTTACACACGTACACATACAGACGGGAGCCGGGCTGCCGGTTCCTGACCTCCCTGCCCGACTCCCATCTGATCACCTCCCCCAGCACCCCTCCCCGCTCCTGTCCGAGAGTCCAGCTCTCTTGTCCCACGGGGCTTCGCTTAGAACTCTGGTCTCTGTAGTAGCCTGTTCCAGCCGCTGACCTCAGCCCCCCGATCTCCCGCCTACCATGCCAAGCTCTCCCATGG